TGAAAATGCTGTGTCGTATTCTTAGTAATGTTTTTTAATATTTGGGAAGATGTCACTGAGCATTGAATACGCGAATTATGCAAAACGGTAACGTTTAAATGTGCGAGTGAGATGCGCGACCTATGATAAGGTAGGGAAATTGAGTATCACTCGAGCGCGCGTTCGAGGTTCAGGGAAAAGGAGGAGCTAAATTAACCTCGGACGCGTTTATCGGACCACGTGCACTGAGGAGCAGATAGATCTGTGCGAACACACAAAAGATTCGCAATCAGACCGCGAGAGAGTACGGACGTGTGGCCGAGTGAAAAAGTCGCGAGAGAGGCAGCGTTGGCCTTGAACGTTGATCGAAAGAAGCTGTGTGGCAGCGGTCATAGTTTAGTTGTCGTGGAGAAGCTGTGTGGCAGCAGTTAGTTGAGTCGTGATATCGTGTCGCGGAGAAGCTGTGTTGCAGCCTTAGAGGGTAGTGGCGAGTACGTAGTCGTGAAGTGACGAGGCGATTCGCGAGTAGCCTCGGAAGGCAGCGAGCCGAGCGAATGCGCTGTACAGCGATACCCGTACGGATTGTCCGAGGCATCTTTTAGACCAACAACTACGAGCTTGGACTGGACACGGACCGCAAGGACGAAGCAGCTGGGGAACAGCGGAAGGCAACGGCGAAATCGAGAAACGAAGGACAAGGCATAGGAGCAAAGAAATAAGGTCGTATATTGTATTAGACTTGGTCGGACGCGTGTATACGAGAGAGTGTGTGAGATTGCGTAGTGTGGATGTATGAGTGAGGAATTAGGAAGTATTTCGCGTAGTAGAATGGTTTGGTAAGAGTCGTGGAAATGGGAATAATTGTAGCGAGTACTTTGGACATTCAAGACGTGGTTCGAGTCCACGTATCGCGTTTCAGGCCTGTGCGTGGCCATCTTGCGAAGCGGTACTTCCGCCTTGGACGCTCGTGTGAGAGCAAGCGAGATAGCGCGTATCGTCTTGGTCGTGTGTGACCAAATCGCGCATCTACTAGCGCGAGCAGAGCGAAGGTCGACCGTAGTTCGGAGAAACGAACCGATTGCGCGCAGTGCAATTACGCGGCCTTTGACTGGGACTAGCGTCGGACTAGTGTTGTGCAGACAACAAAGCGGTTATGGTTATAATTGACTTTTACATGAAATCAGTTACATGTGCTGCGAATTTTTTTCCTTTACTTTTAGCATTGTGAGCGTAGCGAGTCATACTAAACTTTAACATATGATTCTGTAATTAAGCTTCGAATTTTGATGCTCGCCTCGACATTAGCATCACGAGCGAAGCGAGTGATGGTGGTCCGGGGGGGGGGGGGCGNTGGGGGGGGGGGGGGCGAGCATCAATAACATTAATATAAAAAACATTTTTTCATTTTGATTTGTGTGTAACAAATTACACACAACATTCTTTCTCGTCCGTAGACATACCATCATGTGCGAATGATATTTCAGGACTCTGCATAATTTTTATCACGTAATCATTATAGCATCTCTACGTATTGATGTGTCTTCGACCAATTGTACGCTAAGTAATACGGGCGATAAAATTATAAATATAACGTTGCTAGGCCGAGCTGGCCATAACAACCGCTGCATCTGTCGAGCGCGCAGAAGTGGGCAAAAGTCCTTCTTTTTCTAGGGTACGCGTACGGCGAAAGTAAATACTTTTGTATTGTATTCTAAGCAATCCTTACCCGTAAATTGCTAGTTTATTTTCGCGCCCCAGTTTTATTTATTAAATAATACGGCAATGGACGCGGTACCTCCTTGCATCAACCTGTGTTGATACAAGTTGTTTTTTAAATCGCGAAAGCTAGATGCTACTTTGGCATCCCCTTGGAAAACTCACGATTTTATATATATTTTTATCTTAATCAAGAGTCAAACACATCAAACGATGATAATTCAACCCTTTACTTAACTCAAATTTTATTAAATAAATTGTACTATTCCTAACTTTTTCGTTTGTGTACAATTTATTTAATAAAATTTGAGTTAAGTAAAGGGTTGAATTATCATCGTTTGATGTGTTTGACTCTTGATTAAGATAAAAATATATATAAAATCGTGAGTTTTCCAAGGGGATGCCAAAGTAGCATCTAGCTTTCGCGATTTAAAAAACAACTTGTATCAACACAGGTTGATGCAAGGAGGTACCGCGTCCATTGCCGTATTATTTAATAAATAAATACTTTTGCCGGAGGGATGGAAAAAAGTATATTTTTGCGTAGTATTTTCGCGGCGCACTGAGTGGCGGCTCGACCCCTTCTGAGGTAGAACTCAAGGATAGGCTACCCGGAGACTCTGTAAAGAAATAATAGATCTGCAGGCCGAGCATGGGCTATGACCCAAAACCTTGCACGTCTCGTATTGTAATATAAACGTAGGTTCTGAAATACCTGAGTATGACATCACTTTCAATGTTTTATGGGCTCCAGTCAAAAATCCATGAGAGGTCGAGATTTTTGGTACTGCAGGAGCTTTGTCGAATCTTCGTTCCAATGATTTTTTTGTTGTTGTTTATACTTCTTATCATCATAAAACAAAAACTTGATATTTTCGAATTTACTTTGTGCCCATTCAAAAAGACATGCAGCAGTCAGCATTAAATCATTAGCAGAGGCTTGAAGACTTGCCCGAGTTGCTTTCTTCTTGAAAGCAGCGCCTAGATCATCGCATGCACCCTTGCCGTGCGCAGTGGCATAAAAATGCCAATCCACGGGAAAGCCAAAGTCCTCTTCGTGGTGTGCCAGATTACATTACACTATTACATTACATTTGGAATCTATTTTCATGTTACTTGGCTCCATCACTGATGTATATAATTTTTTTTCACCTTGGGAACAGTTTCCTTTATTTTTTCCATTAATTCTTTTTGCGTAATATAAACTGCCGCTACGTCGTGGCTGGTACAATTAGACAGTAACATAAAACTTTGGCGAAACTCATTAGTGTCATTTTTGTAATAAAAGATTATTGGGTGCACAGTGCATTGATCGTTGTTATAATGAAATGCTTGGGCAGACTTTTGAACGACGTACGCAAAATTGTCAGAAAAACCGATACGCACCAAAACTTCACTTTTTTTCATATTTAGTTTCATTTTCTTTACGTAGGCCGGTTGATTTTTAGAAAAAAAATGATGGAGGAGCAGAGCTTCAAGCTTATTACAAAATTCTTCGATGAACTTATGTGCGGAAAGACACTATTTTTGTAAAGGGCATCGATCAGTTGCTTACACTGATAATTAGGTCGGAAATTACATTCTTTTCTAGTAAATTCACGAGTAAGTCGTGCAGTTTATCAACTGGCGGGAAACTGTACATTCGGGTAAGTAGCACGATCGAGTCGCATCAGGACACAGTAAATGTCCAAAACAATCATGGTATTCTTTAATAGAGGTTTTATTTCCCTTGGTGAATTTCGCTAAAATTTTCGGCATCAAACATATTTTTGAAGTTTTGGTATATCGTTCATACACAAACTGTATTTGTGCTCTTGGAGCCAGCAGAAATACACCATTTTGGTCGAAGTTCAGCGAATTTGGAAAACTCAATGCGAAATTGAGGAATTTTTTAAATGGATTTTGTAAACTTTTAATGTCGCACAACAACAATCATCTTTGTTTTTTGCATTTTTTACTATCATGTCTTACAGTGATAACATCTTTATGATTCGGCATCATTCGACTGTTTTCGTCGTCTTTGTAAAAACTTTTCACGGCACTAACAACGTCGTCTGGTAATGTTTTACCTGCTTCTGCCACCGGTGTCGATAACATTCCAGCTGTCTCTTTCAAATCTTTTAATTCGAGCACTATTCGTTTCGAGGTACCAAATTCTTTTGCAGTTTTTGTTAAACTCCAAGAATCAGGAGCTATCGTTAAAATTATTAATCTGTAGAAGACAAACTTGAAAAACGATTTTTTAGGCCTGTAAGCATTTCTTCCAGTTCCCAAGTTCTACGTCTCCGGAATTATGAAAACTGCTTTCGGGTTCCTCAAAAAAGCCAGATTCATTTTATTCGTTTAAAGTAATTTTTCAGCACGAGTGGCATATTTTCTCGGAACCAGTTAAATGTGGAAAATTATTCATACATTTATTAGAAATATCTTTTGTGTCTCCGCGAAATGAAATTCAGTCAGAATCGATATTAGCTGCATCATCGTTGCGAATTTCTTTGAAACAATCCATATGCATCACCAAAGACTCCCTTAGTTAAAAGCCTTATCTCATCTCTTCTATATACACAGGCACAGATGAGAAATCAATACATTCTCTCTCGAATACTGTACTAAGGAATTTGTCCTGATTTCGTACAAAATGAGCGAAATGGCACAACATTAAAGTTTTGCGGTCTCAAGGACCAGCGCTGAGTCATCTGGAAACAATAATGTAATAGAGTATCATAGTTAGTCTCGAGATCTTTTGCAAACTTTCTTCTTGCTTTCGAGGCTTCTCATTTCAACCTTTTTTTTTCCTCATCCATGACAAATTTTTCTCATTAATAAAAAAATACGGAGCAAAGATCAAGTGCTCCTTAGAGTTGGACTCTTAAGAATGGAATGATGATGCGTTGTTTACCTTTTTACAAGTGTCGAGTAAAACACGGACTTACTAAAGCTAGAACTGCCAAAATACGAGCAAAATCATAAATACAGTCAAGCATCACAATGATGTGAAGACAAATTAGGTGGGGACATTACAATATTCGTGGTGTCGCCATGTTATGGAAATTCTAACTTTGCTGGGCTTCATGATGTAAAAATGGAAGGTGTGAAAATTAAAAACATGTTCTGACCTGATAAAGTAGGAAGTTAATTATTTAGGTACAAATTTCATGAGTCTTTCCAAATAATAACCTACTTAATTTTTTTATGTATAATATTTAATTTTTCAGCTTTAAGAAGTAACATTATGTTTCGTTTCTATTAAAAAATTTTAATGTTTTCTTGAAGATTATTTACTAATTACTGACAATTTTCTTTAGGTATAGCTGCCGAAGATGAATGGTATAATAAAAGCATTTCAGCATTACGAATGAATAGCACACATCACCCAAATTTGACTACTCCAATGCTACAATATCAAACATAACTCTGGATGCTTCAAAATGAATAAATAAAAATTTTGTGTAAATTTAAAATCGATAAAAATTGTTTGTTATTTTCTGCAATCTATGGTAATATTGTTTTAAATATACCCGACGAACTAAAATCATAAAAGAATAAATCAGTGAGTGTGAATATACGTGTATACGTGTGAGTGTAAATTATCTGAAGTAAAAAATTAACAAGATTTACTATTCAAACTTATATTAAATTAGATTTGCAAATGTCCTTAATAAAGTGCTGTATACCATAACGTACAGACTATGAAAAAATAAGAAAGCTGATAAACTATTTCACATGAATAACAATTATTTGTTGATGATTATTTGCAGATAAATTTAGCTATATAAGTTTCATTTACATATACCATACAATAAAAATAGTTAAGTAGAATTTCAAACCTTGTAACATTTGGACTCTACGCTAAAAATAATTTTGAGTGCAAATACAATCTAATATAGGAAAAACGACCGTTTTGTAATTTATTGCACAACATAGAAGTTAATAAGACATTCATCTTGTATGAATAATGATATATATGTGAATTTTAATTTGTTAATAATTACTTATGACGTATTGCAAACTTTTTGCATAAACTTATAGTGATTTTAAAATTCATTTTATTTGTAACTTTGTCCTGCATTCCATATCTGTTGAAATCAATAAAACAACTATTAGAATCACTGTAACAGGGTTCAAATACGAATACTTATATCAAGCTAAAAATACATGTTTAAATAGCTATAAAAATGAAAATTTAGACTATTAGACTTTTTATAATTTGAATTATTACAGCGTGAAAATTAAGAATACTATTAAATAATTTAAAAATAGTTAAAAACGTCGTTTCACTTAGATTTTTTTCAAATTATGGTTTATAGCCCTGTTTAATACTATTTGCTGATTCTACAAACTCTCTCTTAGATTTCAGTCAAATCCTAATTGTTTTAATTTTTTTTTTTTTTTTAATATTTATTAATATTTTTTTAACTATTTATATGAAAGTTCAACAATTTTTGGCAATTTTTAAAAATAAATTTGAACTTTTAATTCTATTTAATTTTATTTATATTTGTTCAATTGACATTGATGCATTCGCAAGATTTCATTACTCAGTATACTAGAATAGCTTTTTGGCAGATACTTATAGAATTGCATTTTCACATCCTAATTATGATACTTTATGCAACGAGTGAGGTGTCGAGTGCTATAAAAACTTGTTTTACAGTGAAAGTATATCTTTACAAGTCGCATTCAAATTTTATGACACGCAAGATTGAAAGAAAGAGAGGGGGAAAGGAAGAAAGGAAAAGAGGGAGAATCAAGGAAAATTAGAGAAAAACCATGTTTCTTGACTCATATTAAGCTCAATAATGAATTCTGTTTGTCTGCCGGTAACCAAAATTTATCAGAAGTTGTATTTTGATATATCGGTGAACATATTACAATGTTGGCCTAATCGAAGGATACGAACACATTTATTTTTGCACAGTGACATTAATAGTGCATGAAAATACCATTTTTATGAGTTTTAAAGTTTTAAATATGATTTTAAAAAATAAATTTGAATTCTACACCAAATTTTACATTAAAAACCATGATTAAACCGTTTTTTCATATTAACCGCAGGAAAGCAGAATTGCAAGCAGAATATCAGCAGAAAAAGAAAATTCAACTTTGAGGCCTTGAAAATCCAATAGGGTTGGACCTAGAGGGCTGAAACTTGCAGGATTTTCCCTTTTCAATGTACTCTTCAAAAATACATGATTTAAGCTAACTATGGCTTAGCCCATATGTATTAAGGATCTATAGAAATTTACGCTCATTTTTTGGAATAACTTTTGCAAAATTTTAGCTTAAATATCGTTCCGGTGGCTCCTATAGATTTCTCAGAATGTTTTAAAGAGTGAAGAAAAACGTGATTTTGCCTCACTGCCAAACCGAACTAATAATAAGACTCAGTCGCTGGAGCGATAATCGAACTTAGTTTTGAATCGGTAACCGGACTTAGTCTCTGAGCTAACTATCAGACTTAGTCCCTGAACTAGTTACGGGACATAGACCTTCAAACGAGATTATCACAGCCACTCATCGCCATTGCCTTGTGCACGGGAGAATATCCCAGTGCGAGACTCTGACGGTTGAGTGCCGATAATCCCTCTTCCCCTCTCTTCAGTCGACCTCGTGTGCAGGTGTCAACTTGGGCGGGTGTCCTTTTGACTCCTGGCAAGAGCAAGATCATCTAGAGGAAAGAGTCGCGCCACCGAAGTCTCACGACCCGCAGGTCACCGACCGCCCCTCGCAAGCTCCGACTTGCAAATCGAACGAGCGGAGCACGTGCACAACGAGTAGTGATGAGGACGTCATAACTCGTTGACGTGACCTCCCCCAACGTAAGCCCTCTTCGCGAGAGTCAAGGCAACGTCGACCCACCTCATTGAGGTCATTATTATCCACCCTTGGAAGCGACGCCATTATCAGGGAGAGACGCCACTGCTTCTTTGCGTTCTACGCATTCATCGAGGAGGGACCCCACCCGAGGAATAGCCAACTGCGTACACTCGCAGACTCCGTTCTCGTGACTGGGTCATAACAATAAGATAGATTGTCAAATCTTATTTAAGGGGAGGGGAATATGGTCCTGACCTTGAGAAATTTTGAATTTTCCAATTGTTTTATTTGATTGTTTATACTTTCAAGAGTATTCTGTGAAAATTTCAGATAAATCGGAGCAAAATATAATTTGATAACTTTATTTACTTTTCAGCAGAATGATAGCTCTACCGCAAACACAGTATTGTATTGAACTTAGCTGTTAACACACTTAACGATATCAATACTTGTTTAACTTGAAAGTTATTAGTATTTCATAAATTTGCCAAGAAAAATTACAAGAGAGCAACTTGCAGTTACTGGTTGTCAATTGTCCAAACCCAAAAAAAGAACATCCGAAAAAACGTTCGAGCAGTGATTCAATGATCACTTCATCGAAAAAAATAAAATTCAGTAGTTCTCTGCCTTTGCCTGAAGTTGAAGACGCGTGTTTTAAAATAATAAATTTTTTATTAGTATTTAATAGTCTTTCAACGTTGGTCAAATGTGTGGATTTCGGTGGTAAAATCAGTTTTGCTTCCTCATAGAGGAAGCTCTGTGATAGGCTCGAAAACGAGATTTTGAACCAGACCTCGTAGGACAATTTGGTTTACATATTTGTAAACTTGATTGAATTCTCAACAAATGTCCGTATGTATGTATGTGTGTGTGTGTGTGTGTGTGTGTGTGTGTGTGTGT